ACCCATGGCTTCATTGTATCCTGGCTCACCCCTAATTGTCATTGTTTTCTCTCACACTTCCATGTCCTCCCAGGTTTACCAATTTTTCAGTTGCCTTCCAGAGGACAAGGTGCCCTATGTCAACAGCCCTGGGGAAAAATACAGGATAAAGCAGCTGCTGCACCAGCTACCCCCACATGACAGTGAGGTGAGGAGTAGAGAAGACAGAACAAGTATGACAGGAGTGGGGTACAGCCTGGACAAATTCAGGGCAACTGGAAAGAAATGGGCAGGGTCAACTACGGAAAGGTGAACTGAGCTGAACTGAAAGGTCTGGAGAAGCAGGAGCCAGAAGGGGACACTCCTTGACCAAATTTAGCTGAGAATTGAGAGAAGAGGTGAGGAATGGGTATTTCAGATAGTAGGCACCAAAAATACAATGACCTAGAAGTAAACTCTGTGAGCGTGGATGAGGTCTAGAAGACTCCTTCTCTCCCCAGGCACAGTACTGCACAGCCCTGGAAGAGGAGGAGAAGAAAGAGTTGCAAGCCTTCAGCCAGCAGAGAAAACGGGAGAACCTGGGACGGGGCATCGTTCGAATCTTCCCAGTGACCATTACTGGGGCCATCTGTGAAGAGGTGAGCTATAGGGTGTCTCAGCAAGTGAAGGCCCTGAGGCTTACCGCTCACTTAACCCCACTGGGGTGTCTCTAGAGCCCTTGGATGAATGGAATTTGTTCCTTAGATACCAATATTGGGTCTAATTTGTCTCTAACGCCTTGATGTATATTTCTGGGGTTTTCTCTCCTCCATGCAGAAGACAGATAACAACAATGTCTTTTTGGTTGTGATTAGAAATTGTTTTGTTTTGTTTTGTTTTGTTTTGTTTTGTTTTTGGTGGGGAAGTGAAAGACAGGGTTTGTTTTTGTAGTAGCGACTGTCCTGGAACTCAGAGAGATCCACCAGCAGTGGATCCCAGGTGCTGGGATTAAAGGCGTATGCCACTGCACCAGGCTTCAGGACTTGTTCTTAAAATCTGACCCCCATGGGTAGGCATGGTGGCTCACACCTATAATCTCAACATTTGGGAGGCTGAGGCAGGAGAATTGTTTAAAGGGCAACCCAGGCTCCATAGTAAGGCCCTGTTTCAAAACAAACAATCTCATCTCCAATGATGCAAACTAATAACAAATAATAATATTAATAAACTGATACATAGTCCCAGAGCCTGAAGTCTGAGGAAGAGCTGTACTCAGTTGGTGGAATTTGTCTCCAAGGCCTTCTTGGTGGATGGAGGCCTGTCTTTAAAACTATTTGGTAATGTCCATTGGCTGAGACCTCTGTGGGTGGAGGCTATCTCTACAGCACCTCCATAGTATTTGCCAAAGCTTCCTAAAAGGTTTGCCCGTAAGGCCACCCATGATCATTAAGGCTTGTCCACACGAGTAGAGTCAGTCCTTTATGTTCCCTCCTCTTCCCTATGAGTGAGCACTATCTCAAATGTATCCCATAGGTGGGGCTAGTTACTAGAGAATCAGGGGTTCAAGGCCAGCCATCGCTGTATATTAAATTCAGAACCACCCTGGGCTACATGAGACCCTGTAGTAAAAAATATACAAAGCTTCACCACAGGAAAGGCCCAAGTTGTCACAAGCTTGGCTGACCCCGTTCATCTGACTATCTTGGTGACTGTGATGGTGTCTGTCATTTGGCAGTGTGGAAAGCAGATTGGAGGTGGAGACATTGCTGTCTTTGCCAGTCGCGCAGGCCTCGGGGCCTGTTGGCACCCTCAGTGCTTTGTGTGCACCACATGCCAGGAGCTGCTGGTTGACCTCATCTACTTCTATCATGCTGGCAAGGTCTACTGTGGGCGCCACCATGCTGAATGCCTGCGCCCTCGCTGTCAAGCATGTGATGAGGTTTGGGCCTCCCTAGCCAGGGGTGGGAAGGCAGGGTGAACAGAGCCAGACGCAAGCTCTTCTGACAGCCCTGGGTGATCTGTGCCCCTGCAGATCATCTTCTCCCTGGAATGTACAGAGGCTGAGGGCCGACACTGGCACATGGGTCACTTCTGCTGTTTCGAGTGTGAAGCTTCATTAGGAGGGCAGCGATATGTCATGCGTCAGAGCCGCCCCCACTGCTGCGCCTGCTATGAGGCCCGTCATGCTGAGTACTGTGATGGCTGTGGCGAACACATCGGTGGGTGAACTTGATGGGGAAGGACAGAGGGATGTATGAACAGCTATGCCATGGCCCCTTCTCCCCTTATACCTCCTCCTCTTCCTTCCTTCCCTCCTTGCTTCCTTTGGTGCTGGAAATGGGACTGAGGGCCAGCGCCTCCAACATGCTCAACAGATTTTCTATCACTGAGTTATATTCTCCCTAGCCTAGATGTCATGCTTTCTAAATCCCACCTACACATAAGTTGCCCACAACACACACCTAAATACACGTGCAGACACCCTCGGATTCTAGTACTCTAAGGTAAAGCCTTTACTGCCCAGAGCTATGCTCTGGTCTTTTCTAATTTCCTCCTTCATCTAACATTAAGTCCTAGCTTCTAGGGCACTCTACCTTCTTTTTTGTTTGTTTTCAAGACAGGGGTTCCTCTGTGTAGCCTTGGCTGTCTTGGACTCACTTTGTAGACAAGGCTGGCCTCGAACTCACAGAGATTACCTGCTTCTGCCTCCCTGAGTGCTGGGATTACAGGCGTGCACCACCACCACACCGGGCAACACCCTACAATCTTAAACTGGCTTCTTTCCTACCAAATCCATGTCCTACCTAAGTCTCATCCCCACTATCCACACCTCTTTTCAGGTCCAGCCTCTATTTGCCTTTTACCTAAAGCTGACTGGACTCCCAGTGACCACATATTAGAGCTCAGTGCCCATGTATGCTCTTTAAATGATCATCCTAGATAAGAGAGGACACCATTGCCAGTTCCTCTCCAAAAGATAAGGAAGATGAGGGCCAAATCTCACTTTATTTGCTTTCTCCAGAGAGGTCCCCTTCTGGGAATGGGGAGGAAAATCGGGGTGCCCTAGCACAAATCCCACACCTCTTCTTAAGAAAGAGCTGCTTAAGTCCTGTTAGGCCACAGAGGAGGGCTTCGAAGCCAGTCCTGAAGATGCCTGATAAAACAGGATCAGATGAATGGGGAGGAGGTCCCCCCCTATCAGTGGACTTGGAAAGGGGCACAGTGGAGATGAGGGAGGAAGAGTGGGATTGGGAGGGAATGAGGGAGCTGGGATACAGAGTTAATAAAATGTAACTGATAAGAAAAAAATAAAATTAAATTAAAAAAAAGAAAGAAAGAAAGAGCTGCTTAAGAAGGGTAGGCTATGAGTGTTGCCTCAGTTTTCCCACTCATGTTGGTCCCCCACAGGCCTGGACCAGGGCCAGATGGCTTATGAGGGCCAACACTGGCATGCTTCAGATCACTGCTTCTGCTGTAGCCATTGTGGTCGAGCACTGCTGGGCCGCCCTTTCCTGCCACGCCGAGGCCTCATCTTCTGCTCAAGGGCCTGCAGCCTTGGATTTGAGACCACAACTCCAGGGCCTAGCCTCCACAGCTGGAGCGCCAGCACAGCCTCTGCACGGCTCACAGCTTCCCGGGCTTCTTTCTCAGCTGCAGAGGGGACATCAGAGACAGCCAGCAAAGGCACCTGTACCAAGGCAGAGTCTGGTGAGCCTCGTCTCCTCCACCCTGCCTTTGCTGGGCTGCCCAACCTTGCCCTGCAGCATCCTGTCTCCCCACATTGCTGGGCCCATCCTTCTCCAGGCCATTTCAGGCCTAGTCTCTAGTCCTAACTCCACCTGTCTGCTGAACCCTGGGTCCGGCCTGAGCCTCCAAATCCCATAACACACCTCAACTCTTCCTCTGCTATCCTCACTTCCTCCAACTGGTCACCCTCTACCCAGGCTTCCCCTCCATTTTATCTCAAACCAAATCTACTCCAACCCTTGATATGCCCCCTCCTGGCCAATCCCTCACCCCATTTATGGACCACAACCCTACTCATGCTAATCTATTTCCTATCCTTCTTTCCATCCAAAGCCTGCAGCAAAGAATCAAACTTTCGGGTATCCAACCTCTGACTCTCTGTTCCACTTCCCAGTCCCAGAGGGGGAAGAAGGCATTCCCAAGTCTTCCCTCAGGTAAGGGCCAGACAGAACAGGGCAGATACCAGGAATCTTCCATCTTTTTTTCCTAGCTGCAGGTCCTGATGAACCCTCCCACTTTCTGAGAGGGGCCCCCCACCGTCACTCTATGCCTGAGCTGGGGCTACGAAGTGCTCCTGAGTCACCCACAAAATCCCCTGGCCATCTTGCCCTGCATCCAGATAATGCCTTTGGTCGCCAGAGTACCCCGCGTGTCAGCTTCCGAGACCCTCTGGTGTCTGAAGGAGGTCCACGACGGACCCTGAGTGCACCTCCAGCCCAGCGCCGAAGACCACGAAGCCCCCCACCCAGGGCCCCCAGCTGTCATCGCCGCCGCCGGCGGCACCAGCGCCGCCACAGCAGCCACCATCACCACCACCATCCTAGCAGACATGTCCACCATCGATGTGACTTGGGATCGGGTTCAGATTCAGGATCTTGTTCCAGCTCACCCTCTAGCCCCAGTTCAGAGTCATCTGAGGATGATGGCTTCTTCCTAGGGGAACGTATCCCACTGCCCCCTCACCTGTGCAGGCCCAGGACCACCCAGGACGCTGCAACTGAAACCTGTAACTCCACAGCCCCACCACTTGTCCAGGCATCTCACCCTGCAAAGCCTCACCACACCAAAGACAAGAACTGCATCGTGGCTTAAAGAAAGGCAGTTTCAGAAGGGACTCTACTAAGTCATAGTGCCCTTCTTTGTTTGTCTTAGTGAAACAATGTGATAGTTGTTAAAAAATAAAGTATAAAAAAAAAAAAACTAAGCTAAGCCTGGCTTCTTTGCTCCAATAGCTTTACCTCAATTTCCCTCCTCCTGATGCTAACATTTGATCCAAAAAAAATTCAACTTATTCGTTATAGACTTTAACACTTTTTATTATTTATTTAGCCCTTCACAGCCACATAGAGAAAAGGGTTATTTGTAGTGGGTCCCTCATTTTGTAGCTTATGTGGGAGTACGATTCAAGCAAAACTCACGTCAGCTTCTAGTACTGCAGAGCAGAGGGGGAACTAGGTACACCCATAAAGGTGACCACACCCAGGAGGGTAGATTGGCAGGCTGGAAGACAAAACTCCCAATAAAGGCACTTTTACAGGGATATAGCTCAGTGGAGAGTGCTTGCCTAGTAAGCACTCAGCTCTAGGTTCAATCTCTTGTACCATAAGCACTTTCAACGAGGTCAGAGAATTGGCTGGGAGTGTTGTGGAAACAGGAGGAGGTATTTTTTTTTGAAACAGGATCTGTATAGCCCTGACTTCGGACTCAGAGATCCACCTGCCTCTGCCCTCTTGAGTTTGGATTAAAGGCGTGCACCACCACACTGGGCAGGAGGAAGTTTTTGATGGAGGAGCTATTGGCAGGTAGCAGAGTCAGACAAATGAGGATCATGGACCATCTGTGGGGTCTGCAAGAGGAAGAAAGAAAGAAAGAACTGATGAATCCATATGCCCATTTTTACAGACAGGAATGCTTACACACTTATGACATTAGGAATCAATAAGGGACAGAATTGCCAGTCATACCCTTCCCTAGGAGGTCCTTTTCCTTTTTCTTTTTTCTTATTCTTTCTTTTTCTTTTTTTCTTTATTGGGGGGGGGTGTTTCGTTTTGTTTTTCAAGACATAGTTTCTCTGTGTAACAGCTCTCTGGCTGTCCTAGAACTCATTCTGACCAAGCTGGCCTTGAATTCAGAGGCATCTGCCTCATGATTGCTGAGATTTAAAGGTGTTTGCCATCACTGCCTGACTTTTTTCCTTCTTTCTGTTCTAAGGGTGCACACAAGTTTACACACACATACACACTTACCAGTGGGGGCCGCTGTATGTCTTTGCTGCTTTAGAGGGAAAGTGAAATAGGCATCATAGCCAAAGAGCACTGTTGCAGCTAGGCCCAGTACCTGGGAAGATGGTAGCAAAGGGATTGGATTAGAGAGCCTACTCAGACTTTATGTCTTTGTATTCAACTCCAGGGACTAGCCCAAGTAGGTTAGTGACTCAAGCCTCATGCTAGGAAGGTAGGGAACGTCAGGGAAAGGCCAGGAGTCTGAATAGTTAATACCTCACCATCTCCGCAGTACTTATCAGAACATGACATCTAACATCACTGCCTCACATTTAGAGGGATTGCTTCTTACTACATTTGAGACAAAATTCTAGCAGATGGTAGACTAACATGTTGACAAAGAGGCCGCCTTTGTCTCTCACAAAGGTCTGTGTCTGACAAGGAACAGTGTTTTTACAACAGATGATCTTGGTAGATAAAATCATTGCTGGGGCCAAACTTTGCTGCAAGTGCTGAGAGCAACTTTGGCCTGGTGTAGCTCCCGTACTCCTGCAGAAGTCCCCTACATCCTCAAACCCTTCTTTCTGTGATTTGGATCTGCTTCTTGGGCCCTTACCCCAGCAGCAATATTGGAGCCGCCTCTTCCATTTACAAGGACAACAATGGAGGTGATCAGGTACAGGATAGCTGCTATGAGGGATCTGAAGAAGTCCTGTGAAGGGGATGCAGAAAAAGGTGATTTCAGCCTCCAGCATTCTACAGACCATTCAAACTTCCCCACCCACCACCAACCACCCAGCCTCAGCAATACTGGCCCCTTTCTTACAGTCCAAGGCCAGTTGATGAATGATATCTTAGAGTGCAGGTCACACATGTAGAAGACAAATAACACAGCAGCAAAGATCATCTCAATCACCGACAGGGAGGAGTACGCTGATGTAGATGCACTGAAGCAAATTAAGATCACCAGGCACAGTATCTGAGGGGGGCAGGGACAAGGGACCTCAGTCAGCCATGGGTTAAGCGCAATGGTTGAAATTGGAAAAGAGGAATCTCAAACTCAAATGTCCATCAGGAAAACAAACAAACAAACAAACATAATGAAATCCACTTCCCAGGACTGGAGATGTAGCTCAGTGGTAGGGCATTTACCTAACATGTGCAACACCCTAAGTTCCACCCACTCGGTAGAGAGTTCGAGGGGATCAGGCGGGGGTGGGGGGAGGAGAAAAATCATTTTTCCCAAATAACTACCAGGAGCGAGAAAATGACACACAATAAAACACCCAAAACCCCTCTCGCATGCTCATTGTTCTTCAAGCTTTGTCTAGGAGCTTTACAACTCTTATTTCACTCAATCATCCCAATAATCTAATGAGCCAGGTAATATTCTTCTTTATACATGAGAAAAGTGAGTCAGAGAGGTTAAGTGGCTTCCCCAGAGTCACCCAGTAAGAAAAGAGAAGAATTATGTGCTTCAGTTCCCCTTTCCCTGAGGGGAGTGGCTCTGCCAGGTGTTTGGTGAGCGCTGGTGGCGCCAGCTTCCAAGCCTTTAATGGGAGGGACAAGAGGTTCCCCAGGCAACCCCCTTGGGAAGGAGTGAGACTGACACTAGCAGGGCAGGGCTCCGTTAAAGGAGCCGCACCCCTTTTTATAAGTGACCCAAAGGCAGTGCGCACTTTGAGGCAAATGGGAAACCAAGGTTCCCTATAACCATCCAAAGAGCTAAAGACCTCCCATCCAGTTCCAAACGGGCAGGGAAGAACTGGTGAAGGGTGGAAAAGCCCTACCCTAGAGGACTAGCTCTATCCCACCCCAAAAGGCCCCGCCTTTGGGAACACTGCCAGCCCGCCAGTCAGTGCCCAGGCTGGCCACGCCCTGCCACGAGAGGCTTCCACTCCCCAGGACCCCTTCTCTCCTTCCACTAGCAGCCTACACCCACACACCGAGCCCCCAACATTAGCTAAAAATTATTCGCCTCACCAGTGCACTACCAGCTCTCCACTACTTCGCCCATGCCCGACCAAACACCCTGCACCTTGGCTTCGATCCTCCTCTTCGAACTCACCCACTTGCACCCCACGGCTAACCAGCCGGGCCACGTGCCTGCCTCAACCGAGACAGTCCAGTACCGAGTGGTCCAGCCCGCACACCTAGTTTCTGCCCACCCTCTGGCCCGGGAACACTCACAATCTCAGCAAACAAGAGCAGTCCCTTTCGGGTGCGCGAGAAGCTCGTGCAGGCTAACCAGCAGCCAGGGGCTGAGAGGCGCTCGGAGTCCGCCATGGTGTGTGCTGGAATTCCTGGGACGCAGAAGAAGCTCTGCTTTCTGGCTCACAGGTTCGAGGTCGCTGCACACCCAGCCGTCTGCCCCGCCGGTCTGTCCGGGAAGGGAGCCCCCGGGCAAAGGAGGGAATGAATCACCGCGCCTAGCTGAAGCAGGCGGGGCCAGAGGGGGATGGGCCAGGTGGCTGCCGCCCCGGAAGCCCCCATTGCCCTCAGGCCGAAGACTGTACGGGTCCCGCAGACAGCTCTACCTTCCAGATGCCTGGCAGCTCTAAGTACTAGGAGCAACACTGTAGGGACTCTTCAGTTTTTGTTTTGGTTTGGTTTGTTTTTTTGTTTGTTTGTTTTAATGCAAAAGCGCTACCAAGGCACTCTGGCGCTTCCTCCGTTTGATTTTAGCCAAAAGGCCAAGAAGCAATACGGTGATTGATTCAGTTTCATTAGTTGAAAAAGTGGCCAAAGCCCTGTTTAAATCCGAAATTCTCGAGAACAGGTATGTTTCCTGATTTCGGAATGCTTTGAATTTTAAAAAGTTTCCCCTTTGCATATTTAGCAGTGGTTCTCCACCTGTGGGTCGCGACCCTTTTGGGTTCCAACGACTTTTTCACAGGGGTAACCTAAAACCACCAGAAAACGAAGATTGATTACGATTCATAGCAGTAAACACAGAAAACACAGATTCATTATGATTAATAGCAGTAGCAATATTACAGTTATGAAGTAGCAACAAAAATGCTTTATGGTTGGGGGTCACCACAACGTGAGGAACTGTATTAAAGGGTCGCAGCACTAGAAAGGTTGACAACCTCTGGTATATAGTATATTACCTAACACTCTGGGCACGATCTGTGGAATTAAAACTTAATTACCTCAAGAAATGGTGTAAAATGTTCACAATAAGTGGGATGAATAAAGATAGAAAATCGTTCCTGATTCGGTCAGGTCAGGTTGTGTGGTCAAACGGTACCAAACTGGGGTGAAGAGGATGTGGTCAGTTTCCAGAGTTTGGGAGGCTTTGGTTAGAAAGGATAGTGCACTGTGAAATAGTGTTGTGGGCGTGCCGCAAAGACCAAGGGAGAATGGGACCTGGTGATCAACCTGGTAAATCTTAGTGAGTATCCTCAGTGTGCTTAGAGCTCCTTAGTCTGTGCTGCATAATGCCAGGGAAGTCTTCAGCCTAACTGCTGAACCTCAGTTTTCTAGTTCTGAGAGGCCAAGCCAGCTTTAGCTGAAGACTTGGGGAAAGAATACATTTTTGCTGAGAGCTAGAAAACATAAGGGGTGGTTCTTTGAGTATAATCTTGGGGAAGTTTGCAGTGTGTTCTTGAGCAATTTATTTCTCTTGGCCTTGTTGGTGTCTAACTCTGAGACATGAGTTACCTGAAATTAGGGCACCTCCAACCCCAATGTGATCTGGACATTGGTCTTATACTCATCTCAAATATAAAGAAATCACTGGAAGGCCCTGTCAGCCCCCACTCCAAACATAGGTCCTTTCCAAATGAAGGAAAGGGCTCCCTATTACAATTGCCATTGTTGAGAGAATGAATGAGTAATGGAAAGGTTGAAACATTTTTCCCAGAGTTGAATGCATGCATTCAAGCAGCGATAAATACCTGAACTTGTGGAACATGACCAATTTAGCTCTCTTACAGCTCCCATTAGTACAGATGCCCTCCCCATTCCCACCCCCACTTCTACCCTCAGTTTTTCCTTGGTCTTTCAGGTTCCACTTAAAACATTATGTCATTAACTGGACACCAGAGCCCACCACCTCCCCCACAATATAACCGGTCCTTTTTTTTTTTTTCCTTTCATTTAGTTTGTTGTTTGATGCATGCTCTCACTGTGTAGCCCAGGATGGCTTAGAACTTATGATCCTCTTGTCTCAGCTGCCTACTTGGGAGAAATTACAGGTATACATACTCTCCAGCCAGAACCTCCATTTTCTTAGTTTTGTAACTATAAGTTCTCTTGGAAATTATCTTTTATGTATCCTTATCATTCTTGTCTGATATCAGTCTACTTTCACTATAGTAGCTGCACAAAGCCACAAAGCATTGTTTTGCTCCCTGGTATCCCCGTAGAACTACTCCAGAGCAGGTATACAATTGAGGTTCAACTGGTATTTGTCAAATATGGGTGAAATTAAAATGAAAGGCTTCCATAAAAAGCTCTAACTAATTTTGCTTTGAGCTCTCCCACTCTGATCTGTTTGCACTCTCTGGGCATCATTTTCCCCCTTTGAGAAATGATCTATCAAGAGTTGTTGAGTAGGTGTGTAATTAGATGAAAGCAAATACTCCATTAAAGCCAGTAGCAGGGTGAAGCTAAGTAAATGGTAGCTGGGGTTACTATGTTAGTTCCCTGGGTGTGACTGTTTAGGAATTGTGTACTAGACTCCTTTCCTGACTTTTGGGGAGCCATACTCCCACAATACTCTGAGTCATGAGTAGCTGGAAGTCACCCACACACAAACACTTTAAGTGTTCACTTCTTTATTCCTCAGCTGCTGCCTGTCCCTGTTTGGTTTCGCAGTCTGTCCCACCCCCACCTCCAGTGCCACCTGAGACTCTGTTCCTGTCATTTCCCCCCTCCCCCCCACCTGCATCCTCCTTAATAGGGGCAAAAGTTGCCTGTTTAGACCACAACTTCCCTCTTTGGGGGATGGGACTGAATGTTCAGGATGTGCTTAACAGCAAAGGTGACTGGACATTTGTAACATAGGCCAGCGCCTGCCTGCTTTGTGGCTACCCGAGTTGGAGTTTACAGTCCTTATAAGCATTTGACAGTAGGACTCAACTCCCGGGTGGAGGAAACTCTGTTCTCTTCCCAGACCAGGATCGCCCAGAGCACTTTATCACCAACTATGGAAAAGTGGAGGAGTGGCCCAAAGACTCTAATCGCCCTTTTTAGCCTGGCCCACCCGGGGCAATGACTCACACCTTCCCCTCTCGGTCTCTAAGAGGGGGTCCAGGGCCGCAACCCACGCCCCTAGGGTAGCAGTCTCCGAGCCAGTCAAAGCTAGTTTTTCAAGCCGGAAGTGGGACACCACGGACTCTGGGAGGAGTAAGGCGCCAGGCTAGCAGGAACCCTGAGTCTACTGGGGCACTCCCACAGCAGCCCTACTTTTGCATTCCCCACGCCAAATCGCAATAACGTTTGAACTCCAAAAGTGAAATGAATGAATGGAAGAAGTGCAGGGGTTAGCAAACCAGAGCAAAATGGGGAGTACGGAGAAATAAGGATCATTTTGGAGGCATGAAGAAAGCAGCATGCAGCCTTTGGCTGGTTTCAAAAGGGCCCTCATCGAAACCAGATCAACCCACCCCTCCCTTACAGAGTGGACTGGGAAGCCCCACCCTGCCTAGAGCACCTGACAAGTCAGGACTGGATTCAGCTATTTTATTACCTCCCGGCTAGGAAGCAACTAGGAGAAGCTGAGCGAACGCAGGGGATGGGGGAGTGGGGTGCGAGCGCTCTGGGCTCTGGGAGGGCTATACCACTGGCGTCTTGAAGGGGTGGCGACCAGTCCACTGTGCAGTGTGGAGTGGGGGAGGGTACTAGACGAGGTTAAAGCTTTAAGGGAAAAGCTTAGTGCCTGGCAATACGACGTGCCAGAAACAGGCGGAACTTCACCAAGTAAACACAGAGATGTCTGCTGGTGCTCAGTGCCTCTGCCTTCCTGCTGCCATCTCCTGAGCGAGCTGCATGCCCCCACCACGAACCCCTAGAGCCCGTGAGAGCCGGTCTTCGCTCGGTACCAGCCAGGGCCCAGGGGTACCAGGGATACGGTCGTTCAGATCTTCCGTGGGGTGCTCCACTGCGTGAAACACGTGGCCAATAGCCACTGCCTCTGGACTAGGTTCCGGACTGGGCCGGGTTTTGGGCCGGTGGTGAACTGGGGAAATGGTGCTGCGAGACTTCGTCTTCCTGTTTCTGCTAGGATCTGAGCTGCGATCTGGAGATAGCAAGTTTGAGTGGTGAGATGGGGAATGGAAGAGAGGCCATAAAAGCTCTTAGGGAAAGTTCTCTTCAAGGCCCAGAGGTGCTGCTCTGTCACAAACCTCAACATTCCCCAGCTCCAGATATACCCCTCAATCCAGGCATAGCGGATTATCTACTGAGCTGTCTTGCCAGCCCCCTATATTCGTTTCTCACAAGTAAACCCCTTCCTCTCCAAAAGAGAGTATCTGGGAGATGGAATCCAAACGGCTTCTCAGATGGCTAGGCAAGCACTGCACCACTGACCCTCATTCAGACATCAGAGTCCCCAGTCTCTATACCCTTATCCCATTTCCAATCGAGACCATGCTGCCTTCTCTAAAGACTAAGACTTTTCCTTCTAAGTGGGGTGGTGGTGCACGCCTTTAAAGCCAGCACCTGGGAGACAGAAGCAGGTGGATCTCTGAGTTTAAGGCCAGCCCTGGTCTACAGACAGGTCCAGGACAGCAGGGCTACACAAGGAAACCCTGTCTCGAAAAACAAATATATAGAGAGAGAATAAAGAAAAAAATAAAAGATTTTTTTCTTCTGGAAAAAAAAAAAAAGCTCCTCCCCCTCCTCTCCTAATACCTCAAAAGCATCCTCTCATTCTTACCCTGGAATGGGCTCCCTCCCTGTTCCAGATTTTTGTCAAATCTATATAACCCAATCCAGACACTGGACCTCTACATTCCCCCACTTAGACCAGGAAACCCTTTCTACCCAGAATCCAGCCTTTCCATTCTTTGAGCCTCCCCTTCCCCTCTCTGATCTGTGCCTCTCTTCCCTAGGAAATCCACCACTTCACCTCTCTTCTGATGTTTTCCAGCCTCCTCAATCCTACTGGCATCCATCTCTTGAGGCCGTTGGAGCACCAGGTAAAGGCGGGGACCTCCAGTTCGAATCCGCTCCACTACCTGGGCATGAGTGAGGCCTTGTGTTGACTCTCCATTGATATAGAGCACACGGTCACCAGCCTGCAAGAACATAGTGATGTATGAAGGGCAGACAGAACACCAGACAAGGAAAGGGTCAATATCTATGATTGGACTGTTGCTTAGAGCTGACCTGCAAACGACCACATCGCTGTGCTGGCCCATCCTTCAGCAGTCCACGCATGGTCAATGGAGTATCCCCAGATATACCTCGGCCTC